AGCCGCCGCGCTCGCCCGCGGCGTCGCCGTAGTCGTAGCCGGAGCGGTACAGGTCGCGGTCGTTCATGGAGGACCTCGAGTCGTACGAGTCGAAGGAGTCGAACCTGAAAGAGCTGCACAGAGACAACAGTCAACGGCTAAAAAAACAACCCATTTTGTAGCACAATCCCCACGGTCTTAGCTGGAAAATTACATTTTTCTCAACCTTGCTTTCTGACCGCTTTTTTTCCACGCCGCTTTTTCCCTAGACTCAAAAAACTTGGAAAAAACAACTCAACCAACCAGAAAAGGGGAGTTTTTGCACAAATATTGACAGCCTCTGGGCTGAGGAAAAGCAATGAGCATCAAATGGCAGAGAAAGACAAGAGGAAGACCCGCAAATGTGCGTGTGAAAAGGTATGTAAAAAAAAAAAAATGTAAATAAAAAATGTAAATAAAAAATTGGTGGTAAAAATGCAGGAAGTTAATCAATGATGGAAGTGGGTTTTAATGCCTGATGTGTAGAATTACATATAAAATAAAAAATAAAATAATCAGGAGAGGTGAAAAAGGAGTAACGTTGTGCTGCCAAACTCCTTTACTCAACAGCCAACGCTGAGGCCCACTGAGGCAGTTAGAGCTGATTAATCTGAGGCTGCAGTGACCAAACAGACATTTTTATTATAAAAATAGTCGTAACAGTCACCTCTCCTGGTCTTCCATGCCCTCGGCCGCTCCGCCGCTGCCCTCCTTGGACAGCATGTCCAAGCGCTGGTTGATTTTGGCGATGATGGAGTCGGAGTTCTCGGCGGCGCCCGCGTCGGCGCCGTAGGGCGCCACGGACATCCCGGCGTTGACGTCGGCGCCCATGCCCATGTCGGAAGCTTTCGGCGTCTCCCAGGAGCTGGAGGTGGCGGCGGCGCCGTAGTTGTAGGTGGCCGCCGTGTTGGCCGCCGTGGTTTGGGTGTTGTAGTAGTCATAGCCTTCGTAGCCTGGCAAAAAAAGGGGGAAAAATAAGGGAAACGGCATAAAAACGCAGGTTCTGGAAGCTTTGGGTGCTACCAGGGCTCTGCTCCCTAAAGGAAATCCGGTTCCTAGGATGGAAGATGACAGAAATTTCTTCCTCAACCCCAACCCTCAACATTCAAGGTCTTTCCAATGATTTAAAGCACTGGGAAATGCAGGTTATCGGTCCCAGGATGGATTTTGGAAGGAATTCAGCATCCGTTGATGGATTCTGCCAGCCCAAGCCACCTCCACGACCTGAACCACCAAATAAAGTGACAAGAGTCGCTCTATTGGGTGCCTAAGGACGTAGCCAGCCCCAATGACTAAAGTTACAGGGTAATTTTAACCCCGTAACCAGAAAAAAACGGAACCAAAAAATGTTTTTTTAACCAGAAAAAACAAAGCAACAAGAAATAAAGAACATTCTCCTTGTCCACAGAGCCTACAATAAAATCGCCAACAGTTAACGCTGCCCGACCGCTGCCTATTGTGCCTGTTGCCTCGTTGTCTTTGTGTTTTCCCCTCTCTTCCGCCTGTTTCCATCTGGCGACTGTTGTTTTCAATTCAGCCTGTAGGTTCTGCGGAGCAGGGACCGCCTTTCTGTTGTGTTTGCACAAGAGGGCGGTTAAGCCCTGGCCTTGGGCTCCCAGGCTTTATAAAGAGACAAATAATGGGAGAAGAAACTGAAAAAAAAAAACTCATTTTTACACAACTCAACCCGGGAGGATTGAATCGACAGCCCGATGTGTGGTGCAACGTTGGATTTTTCACCACGAGGCCCAAAAAATGCTATTTCCTAAAGGATTCAAGGCATTAGCTCCAGGAAAGGCATTAAAAATAGGCCCAAGCAGTCGTCCTGATTCAAATTGTGGCTAATTAACGAAGGGTTGCTCTGAGAGGGAGGGCTCGTTAGAGAAACGCAAACGACGGGTTATGGAGGTGTGAGCAGGGCAAACCTTGGCTTTGCAACGTATAAATCCGGATTATTTTATTAAGGCCCACGTTTGCCTATCCCAGCTCACAGAAGCAACCTAAGACAAACGAACTTTTGCTAATTTGCGGGTTAATTTGACGACGAAGTTGGCTTCTAGGCAGGGCAAAGTTCGGAAAAATAAAACGCTTGGGATCGTGGAGCGAGGTTGAAATAATAGAGAATATCTTGGAAGCTGCTCGGGGGGTCGATCGTTTGACACCTACCTTGCCAGTTCGTCGCATTTGTCGCGTAGGAACCTTAAAGGGGACAAAAAAAGGAGCATTTCAGCATTAAAAGCAATAAAGCATCAAAGTCACAAGCTCACGATTAAACACACACGGCTCCAGGCAACACCTGGAAACGTTCTGTGCCCTTCTGCATGGGTTGGGATAGGAAGAAGCCAGTATTTCCAGCCAGTATTTTCATTACTTATGAAAATGATATGGATAAAATAAATATTTTTAACACTTTGCAGCACTTTTGATTCTCCAAACTGATCGCTGCAGCTTTAAACTGGCAAATAATTCCATTAAAATAAAATAAAATTCCCAGGGTTGTTTTGTATAAATACATATATGCAGTTTACCTTGAGTATTGGTGGTCCCAGTACTCCAGGTGCCATAGCCTGCAATAAAAAAGAAAGCAAAAAAAGAGTTATTATAAAGATTGGGTGTTTTCCCCAGTTATCTATGGTGCTATAACAAATTTAGCAAATTCAGAATTTAGTTTCTTCTGTTAATGGACTCTAAAATCCATAAATTTCAGAATTGGGCTCGCTGCTGTTCGGAGAGGCACTCTGTATTAAATTTGGGTTTAATCAGGCTAAAATGCAACAAGGAGCTTGGAGGCAGAGGATTAAAAATCATGGTGCATTTCCAGAGAGGAAAATATCATTTTTTAAACGTATTTGATGCTGCTACATCCAGCGAAGACGGGAACAACCATCAAACTCTGGCAAAACACAGACCTGGAGGCACTGAGGAGAGATGCTGCTACCCCAGAAGCTGCTTTTTCCCAGAATGGCTGTATTTGCTGCTAAAAATTCTATGTTTGAGCACCAAAAAAGCACGCAGAGAAGATCAAGGCGATTCCAGAGGGTGCTGAACAGCAGGAAACGATTCCTGAAAGCTGGAATTGCCCAGAATCCGAGTCCTCCCGCTGGTTTCGACAAAGAGCTTTATCCGAGGGAGAACAAAGCTTGTCCTCTGCTAAGCCCTTAAATCACCTCTATGAACCAGGCCTATCCACAGGGATGCAAAGGATGCTCCGAGGGAATCCCACAATCCCGGAGACACGGAAGGAATTACAAAGAGAGGGGACACGGAGGCCGATGCTTCCGTGCCCGGTTATTTGTAAAAACACATGAGAAATAGAAAAAATCCCTCACAATTTATAACCTCATCGACACCAAAACACACACTGGACTTTGCAAAAGCGAGAGGATTTAAAACTTAATATGATTTCTTTAAGATATCTTTTTTTTTCGCTAGCTAAATATAAGTTTAGAGGAAGCCAGAAACAGGCAAAAAAAGTAACTTTTGCAGGCTGAAATGCAAACTTTTTGGAGCCAGTTTATCCAAGGTTGATCCACTTTTAAACTGTGATTTATCACCCTATTTAGTGGAGACTAAACGCTCTATAGGTGAACAGGCAACAAGCTCGGAAGCAGATGTCCACGCTTCATTGGGGCTAAAAAATACATCATAGGCTAAAAAATACAGTTGAGAGCCAAAAAAAACATGTTTTTGACCCAAAGTTCGTGGTTTGAGCTCGGCCAGGCAGAGAAAATCATCCTCTGCAGTGATAAATACAAAACAAATGTGTCTTGGGGGTGTCTTTAATCCCCAAAATTGGGGAAAATTTGAAGTGTGAGGCCCAAATCGCCCCTCCGGATTGGCCCGAAGGTTGAAATTTGGGCAGAAAAAAGCCTCAAAACCCGCAGGTGTCCGCAAGGGAGAGGGGACGGGATCCAGTTTTCCGTCTGTGCCGGGTTTGTGCCTCCGGGAGCGCTTCCCAGACGGATTTACGGGATGTTTTGCACTTGCAGGAGCTTCAACGCGGGACGCGAAGCTACCGGGGACACAGCCGAGCCGTCAAATTCCGAGGTGCTGCGGGCAAACGTCCCAACTCCAAAGTTGCGATTCCCACGTTGCGGGAACACGTCCCAATTCCCACGTTTCGCTTTCGCTTCGGCGGCCGCAACTCCCGGGAGGCCAAGGCAGGAAGAGCAGCAGCCCCGCGACGCTCGAGCACCCAAAACCAGCGCTTTTCCCATCATTTTGGCAGCATTTGCAGGGTCGAGCGGCTCTCATCGCTGTTTTCTCCTTCTTTTCCCACCTTTTCGCATGAGGGATGCGGGAAGAGCTTCGGGCCGTGCAGGAAGGGCCCTTTAAACCCCTCCGAGGTGGACGGCAGAGCTCAGG